CCCCAAAACCCCAAAACCCCACTGATCTAGAATAAATTAATATTTTAGTTAAAATGTAATCTATTTTAAATTTGTAAATTATTGCTATACTTAGTGTTAATAATATTGGGTGAAAAGCTATCAATCTTATTTCTCATCTATCTATAAGTTTAAATCTTCAGGATTAAGTGTGAAATCTTTTTATCTAAATTCTGATTCCCTATTTAAATTTTATTCATCTGGTTCCTCGTCGTCAATCTTAAATATTTCATTCTTCACACTGGTTTTGGCTTGATTAATTGAAAACTTAATGCGCTTAGCAGTCTCGGACTTAGTACTTTCAGCTACATTTTATGCCTTTGATACAATGCTCTATTTCATTGATAGCTTGCTGTTATCTGATCCTTAAGAGTACTTCTTACTGATACTTCCCTTTGATCTATTCTCAAAGTCATCTTCATCATCACACTCTTATATTGCATAAACCAAAGAGGACTTTTGATTAGTATTGTTTTAAGTCTTATCAACAATACAAACATCAAAGGAATTGAATTAGTCTCCATTCATAGTGTTATCAATGCTATCTGATTCTGGAGGACCTGGATAATCGTTGTTCTCTTAAGCATTAATTTATGAAGTTTCTGATCTTCTGCTGTCAATTATTTAGTTGTAGTTCATTCTCTCACTATCCTGATACTAATCATACTCCTTCTTGTCATCCTCAATTTAAATCTTCTCCTGTACAAATTTTGAGAATCTCTTAACTATATTCTTTATTGATATTCTGCTTTCTTTCTTTGAAGAAATTCGAGATTTAGAATTCTATGCTGGCTCAACAAGAGATGTTTTCCCAGAACTGGCAAAGCTCATCTCATTATTATTAAAAGACTGATTTGGATCTAATCTAAATTGAGGAGTGTTTTAAAGCTAAATATTAGCAAAGGATAGTTTTTTAGAAGACTTAGCTTGGTTTTATTAAGTTTAATCTTGATTTGAGACTGATAAATCGCTTTTATCAGTCATCCTTACTTAAAGCTTAGAGGGTGGAGTTTAAACATTTTGGAGGTATCTTGAAAAGATAAAGAATCTTAACACTTAAAGTTTGTGAAGGATTTTATGTCTCAGACAGAATATGGCAAGAAATAGACCTTCAATTGTATGAGAGGTAACTATAGCCAAAAGCCATATTAATCCCACATTGACAGTGGTTTCAACCTGATAGTCAGGATGCTTTGGAATACCTTCAGTGTTAATATCTTTCTATCTTTAAACTTGATAGTTTGCTCCCTCAAGTATTATTTCTGAAGAACTTTCTGCCATCTCCACATAAATTGAGTCAATTTAATTCACATAGGGTTCTTCAAAAGTTATTTTGATGGGAATGAACTTATTTAGAGGCATTCTCTGGACATTGGAGATTTCAAGGATTGTTTAGTCGTGAATCTCGTAAGTTTCGTTTGAGAGCTTCATCTTCATAAATTCATAGTAGGTAGTGTTCTCATTCGATATCATAATGCTGATGTTTTGAAGTGGAATAGTTCTGATAGGCTGAGTATAATTGAGCTATTACTGCAATTTCACAAACATTGAGTAGCTTTTATTGCCCAAATTCTAAGGATTTTAGTATTGATTCTCAAGGCTCATGTTGAACCAAAGATACTTTATAAACTGCTTGTCTTCTTAGTAGAATATTTCAACTTCGTTGATTTTGTTTAATGGAAACTAGTAAGTAATATAACCATAGCTAGTGAACAGTAAAGTTTCGTATTCATTTGATAGATCATAGACTGAGTATAAGTAGATCTCTTGGAAATTGTCTTTTGGGTTACGCTTGATGTCATAAACTTATATATTCAAGAAAGTATCATTCAAAGTATTGTCATTTCTCATCATTAAGATATCTAGGTAAGTTTCATCATTAACTGTGCGGTTTTGAGTTGAAATGTTGAAGGCATCATTCTTCGAAAACTTAAAAGTTGAATCTGTGTCAATAATGAATGTTTTATTGTGAAAGTGAAATTCTAGTTTTAGTCCAGTTGTTGAAGAGTAGTTAAATTTGCTAGTGTCTATTAAATTTAGATCGATTGAGATATTTAAACCCTGCTCTCTCTGAGGAGTCATTGGAAAGTAGTAAAGCTTTACTGGTTCTTAATCAGATGGTTCAATAGCAATTACCGAGTGAAGAAAGAAGACTCCAAAAACTGCAATGAAAAATATTGAGTGGTGAGTGAACATTGGATATTCAGAAAACTTTAATGATAATTTTAATAATTGCTCTTTGAAATTTGATTAAATAATTAAAGTCAAAATTAATCTTGAAAAGATACTTTTCCTTTCTATTGTGATCTATTTATCTTTACGGGGTTTTGGGGTTTTGGGGGCTCAATGCTTAAAAAGTGCGTCTAGGCCCTAATGAACAGGTTTATCTTTCAGATGCCTCCTACTGGAAAGTCTAACTCCGCATGTACTCAAAAGCTCTCGGAGATAAGAAGAATAACAAATTTATGATCCTAAACCAAGATAGTATCCCAGTCTTTAGCTTTTCAGAGACTTACAAAAGAATAATGGAGCATGATCATTCCATTGTCAACATTAAGCCAAATAGTTTTAACATTGATGGAAGAGACAGGAGGTACTAGCAATTAAAAAACTTCTTTGACAGAGACGATATCATTCAGACTGCTTAATAAAGTGTGTTACTTAGAAAACACGTTCAAATGTTTGTAGATGAGCAAGAATAAATAATCAAGACTTTCTAACCAGATCCAATCAACTTCCCACTGAGATATCCAAGTGAAATTATTATCGGAACAACCTTGAAATAAAAAGGACTATTAGATGAAGTTATCAATCGCTGCATTCAATACGAGGACTTATCCACTGGAAATGAAAACTAAATTGGATTAGTTGGATTCAATCACATCTTGGATGCTTAGCAAAACTGCCTCTTTTTGGGAAGAATCAGCAATGATTGCTTAGTAGATTCTAAAGCTAAATTGATCATCCAAGGTAAAGATATTGAGGCTGGAAGAAGAAAACTTCTTTAGAATTTAGAACTTTGAATGAGAAATTTAACGAGAAGAAAATTAGTTTTTAAATATTTTTATCCCTAATTATCTCTCAAAAGATATGGTTTGTTTATTACTGGGGTTTTGGGGTTTTGGGGTTTTGGGGTTTTGGGGTTTTGGGG